GAGGGCAACTGGGAATATAACACTTTATGCAAGAGAGTGGCACAATTGGATCTGTACTTCAGAAAACTCTTCCTGGTTACAATGAGAACAATAATCTGAGCAAGAACTGACAGCTGCCTAAATGAAGCAGTGGCCATGACAACAGAGATAAATGGGTGGACTCAAGAGCATTAAATGGATGGCTGGGGCCCCAAGGGGGAGGGGGCAGAAGAATCAGCAAGTCGAATTGGACACCAAGCTTCCACAAAGCTGGGGGCGGGGGCACAGCTTAGGTTCACTGTTGGAGAGGCTTAGATTAAAGCTTCTGTGAGTTATCCAAGAAGCTGAAACACTTAATAAATGGTTAGATTTCAGAGACTGGAATTCAGGCAAGAAACCACAGCTGGAGACACAGACTTGGATGTTATCTGCATATACACATAAGAAGCGAAGCTAGGAGAGTGGCTGAATTTCCCAGAGAAAGAATGAAGTGTTTCTAGGACAGACACCTGATGGGTGTTCTGGCAACCACGAGAAAACCCAGGAGAGAGTAGTATTCAACAGTAAGGAGAGAAAATGCTTTTAAAAAAAAAACAGCAATCACTGACACACTATAACCGGGTCAATTGAGGTAAAGATCAAAACACATCCTATGGACACCAGGAAAAGGAGGTCAGGAGTGAGCAGGCTCAGTGCCAAGGTGGGGCTGACCCCAAAGGTGGCAAGCTGAGGAGAGGACGGGGACAGGCACAGACAGCACAGAACTTGCCTGCACATCTGAAGGGAGAGAGAAAAGAGGAGTGTCAGAGATTTGAAGTTTGGGTTTTAAATTGCAGAGACTTGAGTATTCTGACAGGAGGGGGAGAAAGGAATGGGAATGGATGCAGGCACGCCTGGGGGGTGTCTGGTTCAGCAGGCACAACACCAGCACTGGCTCTGCCTCACGCCCACACTCTCTTCATTGCTGGCTTGTGAAGACATGCCTGTCCTTCCCTCCCTGCTCCCTCAGTTCTTTCAGGAGGCGGAGTGAACAGAATTGAAACTGCAATCTAAGCTGATGCACCTCATTCCAAAAGGCAGGGGCTCAAGAGCTGCAAGGCTAATCCTAAAATCCTACTGAGCCAAACATTTCCTCTCTGATGACGGGCTCCATCTAACATAGGACACAAGCTGTGCACATGCACACACATCTCCAATACAGGGGGCTCTGTGCCCCAGTCCTAAAGCAAATACTTTCTTTAAGTGCTAAATTTCATCCGATCATCTCTTTTGATGAGGCCGTAGCCTCATCTTGTATTCTAGATCTGATCACTATCAAATGTGCAAAATAAAGGTAGTTTTTAAAAAGAAGGAAAAGAAAGGATTCTGAAATGTTTTAAGATACAGAAAACTCACATGTATAAGAAATAAAAGGATTGGGGATGGCCGGTTAGCTCAGTTGGTTACAGCACATCCTTATAACTCCAAAGTCTAGGGTTCTGATCCCCATACTGGCCAGCCACCCCCCCCCAAAAGGATTGGACTACTAGATAATTATTAAGGTCAGCTCCTGTTTTAATATTTATGATATCCAGTTTGTGTGCCAAGTAGAGAAGACTTTTCCTAGAATCACCCCATCAGGCACTGAAAGAACTACTGGTAGTGTATTTTATAAAGGAGGGTTATAAAGGAGGTTCATAAAGTATTGCTCCTTAAGAACTACCCAATATTTACAATGAGTATTGTAAGATGCTATTAGGGAAGCCTAAACCTGAGATGATTAAATAAGCAATGTGCTACTAAAGCCAAATATATTCTATAAGTAACTAATTTTATACATAGAAATATAGCAGTTAGACCAAATACAATAAAAACATCTTTATGCAATTTTGGATCATCATGATAGATGCTCAAAAAAGGCAAGTGTATACCATTTGGATGGTGACAAGGTAAAAGCGCGCTCGGAGAGTTCCGTGCTGGGAGTGCAGCAGCGCCCCCGCCGCGGGTTCGGATCCTATATAGGGATGGCCGGTGCACTCACTGGCTGAGCGCGGTGCGGCCGGTCACAAAAAAAAAGAAAAAGTGGGACAGCTGGCATTATATTCCTCAAGATGTGATACAGAAAGAATACAACACCTGTGACATACTCTAATCTAAAAAGTTCAACCAGAATCTAATTAAAATTCTAGGAATTACGGGATAAAGAGGAACAAGTTAAACAATGTCAAAAAAGTAGCAATCACCCAAATCCAGTAACGTAAGGGACAATCTATGGGACAAACAACACAATTTTTCCAACATTCAATAGTGCATTAAAAAATGAAATAAAATAGAGGGAGGGCTGCTATAGAATAAAAGAGGTTTAAATTATACAACAACCAAATACAGTATGAAGACTCTTTCTGAATATTGACTAGAACAAACCAACTTTTAGACAATCAGAAAAATGTGAATAAAGCTTAATATTGTATTGAATACAGAATTAAATAATATTTAAAAATAATTTTGCTAATTTTATTAGGTCTAATAATGAGTATTTTAAAAATTCCTTATTAGTTGGAGATGTGTACTTATTATTTGAAAAGAGAAGGAATATGCATGTTGTAACAGGTTTTTCAGTGATTTTGAGTTATCGAGTTTCTTCTGGAGTAACGTTAAAGGATGAGGTTCTTCTTCCCACCACAAAACTCGATGAAGAAACATGTAAGTTGCACAAATGCTACTGCAGTTTTCAACACATCCACTTTCTTCCACTCTTCTTTTCTTCCTTATTTGACACAGGGCTAAGAGGTAAATTCAAACACCTTTACCTCTGGTTTATCAGTGTTTTTAGTTACCTAAGCTATAAACACAAACGTGTGGATAACCCACTTCTAGTTTTGGGGTGTGCATGTGAAAGCAATTATTAACAAAATCAAAGAACAAGATTGGAAGGACTTGGAAATGTCCATTTTACAGATAAAGAACCTGAGGCACAGATAATAAGTGATTTTCAAGGTCATGCTACTCATGACTGACAGGTCAAGGCCAAGAGCCCAGTCTGAGTCTCAGAAGTGTGTCAGCCCAGTGCCTTTCTATCACCCACACGGGGTGGTGTTCACTCTACTGACCTTCCCGTGCTCCTTCCTCACATGGGATATATACACATCTCTCTGTGTGAACAGGCGGTCGCACTCCCAACACGTCCACCCAGGGCTGGCCACTTTCTTGGGTTCCATTGATTTTTTCACAGGAGACGGAGATTTCTTTTCCAATTTCTCTTTCCCATTCATGGATTTGGTGTCCTCTTTGTTCTGATTTGCTGAATTTTGAGTTGCAGGCTTAATGCTCAAAGGTAAGTTTATACCCAAGTTTGGAGGCCCTTCAATACTTTTCAATGTTCCATGCATAGACTATATTATAAAAAGAAAAGAAATATCTATCACAAATCACACCACTAAAAGAAAGCACATGCAGACTCCCTTAATACATTACAGACATTTCAATAAGATTTTATGTTCATTCAGAAATACTTCTTAATATATAAAGAAGAAAACCTAAGCTAAAAATACATTTAGAAAGAGATAAAGGAGCATTAACTTTTATGATTACAGTAAGTTCTGCATTTCTAGTTCCAAAAAATTTTTAAAAGCTTCTATGTTTGTGCCATTTTAAAATTCTTTAAAGACAGACCTCAAAATTAATACTGGCATTCTATTCTCCCCTAATGGTCCCAAGTGAGTTCTCTCTACAACAGACCATTTCTGGAGAACAGTCTACTTTCCCATCTGCCCAAAAATGTTTAAATAGGCTAACATACCATTAGGTATTTGAGCCCCTTAGCTAACCAACTTGAATGAACATCTAAGACCAATAAATCAATAGGAAAACCTTTCTCCTTCCTTTTCATGCCTTTCACATTCTTGTAATATTTGTAACATTTGGGGGTTTTGCTGAGTTTTTTAGGTCATTTTTATCTCCATGCATCCTATCCCAATCCACCCTTTCTTACTGATAGCACCCAGATTTATGAATTATAGACAGTAGATACTTAAAGTCTTTTTAAATTGGTTAGCTATTTATTATCATTAACATAATAGCCACAACAGCCATCTTCAACTTAAACTCACAGCACTTCAAATATGAGTGGGGTAAATTAGTGAAATTTGATTTTAAAGAACAGCTCACTTTGGTTTTTGTTTTGTGTTCTATAAGCATGGAGCCAAAAAAAAAAAAAAAATGGGGGAGCAAATAAATCGTGTCTCAATACACAATTTATCTTTAAATAGAGCCTTTTCTTCTTATCAGTATTCAAGCTTGCAGTTAGCCTCTGAATTCTCAAACCTACAGAAAAACACAAGATGAAAACCCTTTCCTTAGGTGCAAGGGGCTTGAACACATGCAGGGTCCCCTGGTTCACAGTGACTCGCACTGTTGAGATCTCAGCTCCACATTTCTGTTTAAGTGTTCCAGTAAGAAGCTCCACTTTCAACACACTTTCCACCATACCTTATCTAAACAGTTCCAAGAATTAGCCAACCTTCCCTCAATACCATCTTTCCCCAGGAGGAAAAATGTTCTACATTTTTCTCATTAACACGTTACAAGGTCTACCCAAACAGACAACCATTAAAGTGGTCCATAAAAAGGGGATGAGGTTTATGTCTAACCATGTTCCTTTACAAAGAGAAAATCTGGGGCAAGACATGATTTCTTGATAGCCAAAAACTATGTATTTGCTTCTTTTCCACTATGCGGGGCAAGAGGGAGGGAGGGTTCTATGTTTGAACAGCCTTTTCCAAAACAGAAGCTAAGTTTTTATATTTTTAACCATTTAAAACTCAAAGAAAACAAACCCCAAAAACTTCTAAGAAACTTTTCCTAAGTTTCTAGGCAAATGCATTTTTACTAACTGAAAGTTGAAGAGGGTAAAGAATTAACATTCTTCTGTAAGATAACCTTAAAGTACTATAGAAATTACAGAAAAGCAGCAGAAAACTCTGCCATGACAAAAGAGGGTGATAAAATGTGTGCTAAAATGGGAATTTCAAATTATTCGTATTATCAAAACACAGCATGAGGAAAAATAAGATAATCAAAAACAAAAATGTCCTTTTTTCATAAAAGAAATACAACTTAATTATTTTAGAACTAATTTTTCCTTAGCTCCTATAACAATAAATAATTTGAATGATTGTTAACTTGAAAGCTTACTTTAAAGTAAATGCCAGTGTGGAGTACAGGAGTCCTACAAATAATCTAAATTTTGGTAGAATGAAGAAATGATAAAAATTGGATTAAATTGGGCAAATAAAGATCCACCTTTAAATGAACATGTGTGTGGAGAAACACTGTTCTTGTTCCACTTCCTCTTAATTCCTTACTCATGAAAAACTGTGTGGCACAGATATAAGGCAATGTAAATAAATAACAAGCTAGATATATTATCTTTAAAATAAAAACAAAAACAGGGCACCATTAAATGTTTATGTTTATTCTTATCCATCCCCAAACACATAAATGCAGGATAATTTTTTTTCTTTTGTATTTTTATTTTTTTTTGTCTTTTTTGTGACCGGTAAGGGGATCGCAACCCTTGGTGTGGCGTCACCCGCACCGCGTTCAGCCAGTGAGCGCACCGGTCATCCCTATATAGGATCCGAACCCGCGGCAGGAGCGCTGCTGCACTCCCAGCACCTCACTCTCCCCAGTGCACCACGGGCTCGGCCCCAGGATAATATTTTTAAATGTACAGAACATACTTGAAATGAGAACATAAGTGAATATTCCCACTGTTTTTGTATCATGTAGACTTGTAAAGGTTCCCATGAATAAAAACAATTCTTTCCTCCTTGTAGCCACAGGACTTTAACACTCTTCTTCAGTCTCTAGTTCTTGGAACCTTGTATTCCTCCAAATTCACTATTAACACAAGGAAGACCCTAACCACAAAGTCAATGAACCCAGCTCCAGATGTAAAGATGAGTTCCAGAAAGCAAATACGTTAAAAGCCTCTTAAGAAGCAACATTTTTTTCTTCTCTCTTTTTGTTTTTGGTTGGCCCATATAGATTATGTTCAAATAGTCTGAACTAATTTCAATGTTCCTACTTTTTTATCAGCAGCTTTTAGTTTTTACTGATTATTCATTAAATATACATTTATTGTCTAAATAGTTTTGTAATTTTAACTAATATGTTTAAAATATCTTAAAGAGGATTTTATTGTACTTCAAGCAAGAATGATAAAACGTATTTCCTGTGCATTTTAGTCACCCTAGTAATGTCACTACCACCACTACCCATCTTTGCCAACACAGAGTAGAATCTCTGAGACGTTAAGTTCATTCGCAATAAAGCAATTCCTCTACTCAAATGAACTCAAATACGTTCGAGATAGGAAATTTAAAGGATTAGTAAATCTATTCATTTAACTGATATGAGACTAGATAACTGACCTTTTCTTGGTATAATATATTTAAAAAAGAGAAAAACTAAGAGAATGAGATTGAGTTCATGATAATAATGGGTCTCCTGCTTCTGTTTCAAAAGTAAATCATTTTAATCTTTGGAAGCCAATGGACGTTATCTCCTAATCACACAAGGAATAAAATTGCTCAACTTATCACAATAGACAGTTAAGAAGCTAGAACCAAGCACTGGCCTTTGTAAGTTTAAAAGGCTATAAACAGACTTTGGTGCCCATGTGTAGAGTTGGAAAATAGACAGTAAAACTGGACACTTATTTAATTAACTTAACACCCACCAGGTGCCAGGCACCATGCTACGTCTTGGATATTTAATAGTCAATTTATATGCAATCATTATAGAAAAAGAATACTAAAAGATCCAGGGGTACCAATTACAACGCAAACTTAACTACTTAAATTGTTTCGAGGGAAAATCTTTATTCTTCTAAATATACCAATATTTGCACAAATTTACATAATTCGTCAGAGACCCTATTTATAAATCCTACACAACATGAAGTTCTCCAAAAAGTAAACTTCAGGGGCCAGCCCGTGGCTCACTCGGGAGAGTGCGGTGCTGATAACACCAAGGCCATGGGTTCGGATCCCATGTAGGGATGGCCAGTTTGCTCAATGGGTGACTGTGGTGCTAACAACACCAAGTCAAGGGTTAAGATCCCCTTACCGGTCATCTTTAAAAAAAAAAAAAAAAAGTAAACTTCACAGTCATCATTTTCATATGTAGAAAAAAAAATCCTAATACTTTATTATTCTTTTAAAAATCAGGGCATGCATTTGTTCCTTTTTATTGATCTTTAATGGTAGGCAGATCAGGACTCCTGCGTGTAAGGAATCCCACAGTCAGGTAAGCACATGATGACAGCATGTGGGGTGCTCAGTGACAACGACCAGTTCCTAGCCCTTCCGTGGACAGTGAGGCATGCTTTACAGTAATCTGCAGCTTAGCCCTGATTTATGACCAATGAACGTATCTGCAATTCATTTAAAGGAGAGGACAGATGCACACACACCTTGATATGGTCCATCATAAGTTGCTTCTGTGCATATAAAAGAGAACAGTCTGGACACTTGAAAACAGACACCTTCTGGTTTTCAATATGTTGGTCAAAGTGACGATACAGCAAGGTTTGCAGGGTGAACACAGTGTCGCACATGGAACACTTATATATTATTCTAAAATAGAAGAAGCGCAGCAAAATAACGTCAGTCAGCCTCATCTCTCAAGGCAAAGGAACTGCTACTTTACATCTGAAGAACTCAGGAGGCGGAAGCACATCGAGAATACACAAATAAAAAGAGCAAAAGTTTAGCTTTAAAACAAACTTTTGAAGACAACTAGCATCACTCAATTAAAGATCAATCTTAAAACTTTGAATAAAGGTGCATTCAGCTACATTTGCTTAGAAGCCTAAATTTATGACCATTTTTACTACTCACAAATCAACCACTGGCATGTGTCTGTACAAAGTCTTTACATGTTAGTTACTTTAACATGCAGCAAAAGCATCCTTTTTATTTTTTTTGAAGAATTTTTTTTTTAAGATCAGACAAGGCAATACAGCTCAATGATGGTAACCTAACCTGAAAATGAATTTGATCAATGAACTAAGTATAAGTAGGCCCATTAGACTCCAATGCCTGAAGAACAAGTTGTTACTTGTTACAAGTTCTTTTATAGTCAGTAACAAGTTTACACTTGAATGTCAACATTTCTATACCTGTTCTTAACAGAGGAAGCCCTATGCCAGTAAATAATTATATACTGAAATAAACAGAAAAGAAAATCTATACCACTGTTGTTTCAACACTTATATGTTTCTTGCATTTTAAATGGCTCAAAATACCTGTACACTAGAAACTATTTCCACACCTAATATGTTACTACCAAGCAGATCTCAATCTTCTGAACATAATCCCTTCTATCCACCTACACCCTCCACTGAAGCTTGGGCAAGAGATGTCTGCAGGGCTTAAATACTAAGACGCCCATGTTACAAGCCTTTGTCTCCAATAGGTCTGATCGGTCACTTACAAACAACTTTGGCCGCAGTAGGCCTTTTTCAATAACTGCTCCAGGTCATCTTGGTCCTTAGGGGGAGCCCTACGGGAATGTGTCTCCTTTGAAGAACTGTGAGAACAGGCACAAACAATTCTACGGAACAGCTTAGGAAAAGGTCAGGAAAAAACTGACCAAATGTGAAGGCCAGATATGAAAAAAGAAAAGTTGAGGTTTTGCTTGATGTCTACAGCAAAGCTAAAGAAAAGAATGCTTCATAAAACCACTTGTTTTTCTTAGCGTCTTCTTGAGACACGAATGAGATGGAAAGACTGTCATGAAAATTAAAACAACAGATAACAAGAAAATATATGATGTGATCACATTTTTTAAAGGGTATAGAAAAGAAACAGAAGGCATAATTGTCATCCTCTCTGTTGGATAATATATGTATTCTTTTTATTGTCCATATTTCCCGGTTTTTCTGTAATTAGTGTATAACAATTAAAAAAAAAAGAATAGCCTCAAGAAAAGAACTGAGATTTACCAGCTAGACAAAGAATCTCCTCATGATTCTATCCTCATGTTTTCAGAAATAACCACTTCATGAAAAATGGCATGGCTCATTTTATCCATGCTACATTCCTTTGGGAGATGTTTTGTTTGCTCTGATGTGTTGTTTTATACTTAGCATAGAAAGTATAAAACAAGAGATAATCTATTTACTTAGGCGTCTTTCTGAGGAACCTGTGGAACAGGTTGTTGGTGTAATATCAGAATACCTCCCCACAAAATACTAACAAATATGAAGGGCAAAATGGTGACTTTATAGTGGAGAAACCTGGCAGACACAACTTGGCTCGATGATGAAGGTTAACATCACCACTAACTAGCAGGACAAGAGGACACTGCCTGTGCCCCTGGTGGGACCTACTTAGACGAGCAGGGCATCACTTCTGAGCACATGCCCTGAGGCCACCTACGAGAGAGCAGCAACAGACCAGGGAGGGTCACCCTCGGAATGAAGGCCTGGATCCTCCTCAGGCCAAAGACATGGGGGGGCGGGCTGATCAACTGTTCCAGATGGAAGGACACTGATAAGACAGGACAATTAAATCCAAAATGTATACCCAGTCAGGGTCTGGGACCAGAAAGGAAAAAGACTTTGTCTCAAGAACTGGAGAAATATGAATGAAATCTATGAATCTGACAGTATTGTAATCAACACTTCCAGAGGCCGTATGGGAGTAATTTACATGAATGTCTGATTGTCCTTTTATTGGGGGCGGCGGGGGGGGC